TGTTAGTTTTGAAGATTCCTAATTGAAACTTTAGAATCTTAAGCCTTAAGCCGTTCTAAGTTTTTAGTATGGTTTGGCATGTACATTTTATTCCTTCATGCCTTATTAAGAATAATACTATGTGTTTTTTTTGGGGATTTTGACTTTGCACCCCACTTTTTGGGTAATATTTGACTTTGCACCCCATTTTAGAAAAACTTTGACTTTGCACCCCATCAAATACATTTTGTGAAGGAAAATTTCTAAATGGGGTGCAAAGTCAAAGGATTTTGAAGTGAAATAGGGTGCAAACTCAAAGTTTTTTTAAAATGAGGTGCAAAGTCCAATATCACCCAAAAAGTGGGGTGCAAACTCAAATCCCCCCCTTTTTATATTTGAACAAGTCAAGTTCTAATTTCACTAACTAATAGTGAATTTTCTATTGTGCCCTATTTCACCATATCTTATTCACTTCCTCGAGGGCCAACTTCACATTTAAAACCTTGCCCATATTGGATCCAATCAAATTGGAGCTAACATACTGCAGTTGGAAAGGAGGAAGTAAAAACAACATCACGCTATGAAAGGTCCAACATGAGGGGAGCTAGATGCCTCTAATGGGTTGTAACTCAGATCAATTGGGAAGAAAGGAGAAGGGGAAACCACAAGCTAAACCCGCTAGTGCGATATACGTGTTAAGAGGAGAGGATGATTTTAATCATATTTACCAACCTTACTGTTAGGATGGCATGATGCAAATAGGAAAATTTCCAAAAACAAGAGTAAAAACAAGGTAGTTTACCTAAATAGGAGTATTGTGTTTTCTACCAAAACAAGAGTAAAGCCCTTTCATCTTATTGAAAGTACCTTTTTAGGATGACATTAAATACTCCTATTGGGGGAAACTACTCCTACTCTAGGTTATCTACTCGGTGAGCGGTGAGTACTTGGTGAGTACTCACAACTCGGGTACAAATAACTGAATAAGATAGAGAAGCAGAGAACCTCAGCATAATAAACAGGCACAAATTAGTTTCTTAGCATTCAAACAGGTAAATATGTAAGATAGAGAAGCAGACAACCTCGCATAATCCGATCCTTGTGCCTTTAATTCAACGACCAGACCCCTTATTCTTGGTCACTTGAGGAGAAAGATTGAATGACACTATGCTTCGTTAACAGATTTGTGCTTGAATGTTAGATAAATATGCTTCAATGTACAAGTTTAGCTCATTCTTGTTAACAGATTTGTGCTCGAATTATTTCACAACCACTTAAATCTTTAATTGTCTTAATTGAATTTATAAAAGGCTTGAGCTCGAATAGAAACATAAACTATTATGCTTGAGCTCGGCTCGAATAAGCATTGGAACCTAAATCCAGATTCGTGTTTGAGTTCGATGTTAAAAAGTCGGCTCGTTAGATTCGAAATCCGCTCAAATGTGAAATGTTTGAAAGTTTCCAAGAACCCTATTATATATATATATATATATATATATATATATATATATAATCAAACGAACCTATCAAAATCAACTAAAATAGTTGGAATTCAATCGCACTTATCCAAATGTCAAACATTGAACAAAGGTATTCAAGTTCATTTCATAATACTCTATCGTCTCGTAATTATCTCTTGTTTGAAATGGCACGATATGGCACAAAGATTAACAAAATAAAAATTGTACTCTCGTACTTTGCCAACTTTTCTTTTCTATTTTTCCAAAAAAAATTGTTACTTTCCTTTTAAAGCATTAATTTGTGGCTTTACTAATCACTAGTAACTCACCCGTGCGATGCACGGTCGTGGAATCTTTCTTGCAAATTTATTTGTGCTCACTAATTCAGATTACATTATCAATTGATGACAACATCTATCTCCATGCAATATTAATAAAGCTCAAAGCAATAAACGAAACACACTAATAATATTATGATTAAAAAGAGAGCATTAAGCATTACTTAAAAGATCAAAAACATCCAACAAATACGTAAAAACCGTAACATTGTAAATATGCATTTCATGTAACCACAACGATTGTTGAACACTTCTTTGAATATACATTTTGAATCTTTCATTTCATCAAAAATTAGAATTTTCAAACCACCACAATTGGTAACTCTAGATAGCAAAATAGGGGGTGCAAATATGTGAAATTACATTGTCATTCTTAAATAACAGGAGATTTGGAATAATCTTTAACTTTGGACAAATTGGGCCATTTCCCGTTAGCCGAATGGCCACTATACATACCCCTAATAAACAGCCCAATCAATCAGTAACCCTAATAAAATGCCCCATGTCCATTGTACGTCAAGAGAGCATGACCCTAACCCAAACTACCTCTTACACTAATCTGTAATGTTATCCACCCCACCTCTCTCCAGAAACACTATTATTCACTAAGCCGTTGGGGAAGAATCTAGCCAGGAATTGCATGAGTCACCTGGCGATAGTCATGGATATCGAGAAATATCTTCCAATAGTATGAACAATGTTCGAGTCGACAATTGCAAGTAAGCGAAACTCTATTAGAGTTTTGTGGTTACTTGATACTTTTTTAAATGGCTTGCACACCCTTCGAAACAAAAGATGAAACAAAACTTTAAGCATTTGATGTTTTTATTTGTTTAAGCCATTTTAAAAAGGTTTTATATGAGCTATTTGAAGACTCGATTTACCAAATATTTGAAGATTAAATAAAAATAAACTACAAAGTGCCTTATACGGAGTAAATTTTACAGACTACTGCACAGTTAAGATATTAAATGTGATTTCATATTTGAATACATGTTTTATTTGCATTGAATCTGAAGCCAAGAACTATTGTGTCGTGTGTCTTGCAGGTCCTTCTTTTACATGTGCAATGACAACGGATTTAAGGAATATGTTTGATATCATTAAAGATTTTTTAATTTTGAATATTATTTAGGGGTATACAGAGAGGATGGGGGAATATTTTCCAATTTTTAATTAAAAAATGCGCACCTAAACAACGACAACAAAAAATCAAGTTTTTTTTAATGAATTTGATTCTCAAATTTTAAGCTTTTAAAAAAAATCATAAAATGTTACTCGTATTAATTTGTAAGCTCGGTCAAGTAATTTTTCAGAAATTAATTTCATATTATTTCCAATACATATCTGTCACTTGGCATTAGTGCCAACCTATCACACACGCTCTCAGAATAAAATAACGGGAATAGTTGGGAACACAACCGGAAAAGTTTTCCCCACCCATGAAATTTTTAAGTGAAAAAACATGCCCTTCCCATAACAACCCTTAAAATTTTGCAATGAATGGTTAATAATGTGAGCATGTATCTCTGCTCGTGTAGATGTTTTATCATTTAGTTTTAAAATAACATGATAAAAAGAGATAATGAAATATTATTTTCATTGATATAAGCAGGCTTAGAACAACATCCTAATAGAGAAAATCTAGAGTTTTTTGTGGGAGCTTTGTGCAGCAAGCAAGTGTGAGATTCAATCGAGAGAAGTATCTTTTATAGCCAAAATTGACATTCAAAATCTGCTTGTTGCCTAAAAAAAGACGTATGGGCAAGTTTCCTAATCTTTTACGGACCTCACGCCAGAATCTTTCCTTGCAGATACGTACGAAGTATTATGGAGTAAAGGATGTGACTGGACGGACCACTCCCTGACACCTAAAGTGTGAAAATTAAATTGTGAATGTATTCAATTTCGTTTATATTTATTTTTCAGTTTGGAAGTTGTCTCACACAATTAAGTCCACTATTCATTGATGTTGAGAGTTTCAGGCGGGAATCCTGTAGCTAAAAATCTTTTCCTTTTACTCCCTCCGTCCCAAAATTATCTTCATAGTTACTATTCACATGGTCAACTCAAATTACTCTTAATCTTTTACTTTATATATCAAATTTTTATCAAACTTAAATTTTCTTGATCAGGCTTTGTAGCGGTTTTAATGTAGTTTCTGAATATGTAAATTTTATTTACTAAAAATAATCCGAGTGTGAACAGGGATCGAGTTGCTTTATCGTCAGTCAAGCATCGTAAACCGAACTATGAAGATAAATATGGGACGGAGGTAGTATATAGTAATAGATTTGTCTGCCCTCTTTTTATTATTCCAGTTTCATACTACCTCCGTCCCCGAAAGAAGTTCTCACTTTCCTTGTTTGGATGCCCCTAATTTAAGTTTTCATTTCCTTAAATGGAAAGTTATTTACATCCATACAGTGCAAAACAGTGCCAAACAGTGCCAAACAGTGTATAAACAGTGTCAAAATAGTTTAGTTACATAAAAATGTGTGAAAGTCAAATGGGGAACTTCTTTCGGGGACGGAGGGAGTACTTGATAAGTAGAATGAAGTTGACAAAGAAATTGAGACGGGGCTAAAGGAGTGTTTGTGATTACTTTAAAAAAACGTTTTTTAGCTTTTGGCTTAAAAAAAGTTGAAAAGAGTGTTTTCAAATGACAGCTTCTGCTTAAATTAATCACTTAAAAGCTAAAAGCTGGAAGCAGGTAGAAAGGTGTTTTAAACTGCTTCTCACTTTTCCTATTACACAAAAAGTACTTATTTTACTAAATACTACCAACTTTAACTTTTTCAGAATCACTTTTTTCCCAAACATTATCAACTTTTACTACTCCCTCCGTCCCGTTGGAATGTTCCCACTTTCCTTTTTTGGATGTCCCAATGGAAAGTTCTCATTTCCCTAAATGGAAAGTAATCCTACACCAAAACAGTGTCAAACAGTGCAAAACAGTGTCAAACAGTGCCAAACAGTGTCAGACAGTGTCTAAACAGTGTCCAAACAGTAAAATTTACCCCCTGGTAAGTTTATTTCCTTAATATGTGTGTAGGTCAAAGCGGGAACATTCCAACGGGACGGAGGGAGTATTAATCACTTTTCCCAAAATCAGTTTAAAAACCACTTTTTTAAAGTTAAGAAGCAATTGAAACACTCCCTAATACGGAGTACTTGGTATAACATAAAGTTAATTGAAATAGAGAAACTACCTTTTCAGAAAGGAAGCCGTATGTGAGTCAAGTCAAGTCAAGTCATAGAGGAGGATTGATTTTGAAAAGGCTTTCCATTTTCACACTTGCGATATCCAGTTCTTGGCATGGAGACTGACGGATTTTCCCGAATGTGTAGAGACAATGAGCTATCGCGGCATCCCTCATTTCCCACTTCTGTTCTCGACGAAGGCGCCTCTGGCAAACCGCTCATCTGCTCTACTGCCAGCGCAGGCGGTGGTGAAGGAGGAGACCCCCGGCGTCTTCCTTCGTACTTTGACCACGTCCCTGAGGACCTGTTGAAGAATGTACTGTCCTTCCTTATCGACCGTAACGATCGTGACGCTGCCTCGCTCGTCTCCAAGTCATGGTACCGCGCGGAGGCGATGACCAGATCCGAGGTCTTCATCGGAAACATCTGTGCTGCAACGCCCCGGCGCCTCGCAGCTCGATTCATTCAGCTCACCTCATTGATTCTCAAGTTCAAGCATCAGAAGGAGCCTTTTTACTTTCTGCCGATGGAAGCACGTTTCGCGCCCTGGGTCGCCTTAATTGCCGAGTCTTATGGTGCACTCGAGAAATTGTACCTCAAACTCTTCAATGTCTCGGACGAAGATATGGACATTCTGGCTCTATCATGCCCGAATTTGAAGGAGCTGGTGTTGGTCAGCTGTGGAGAATTCGGGACCTATGGACTTGGTAGGGTTGCTAGAGAGTGCAGGAAATTAAGGGTACTCGAGGTGATTGATTGCCTTATTAAGAGTGTCAATGTGGACTGGGCTTCATGCTTCCCCGATGATAATACATTTCTTGAGTCTTTGATCTTTGAAAACTCTATGATGTCAGCGGGTTTGAATTTTAAAGCCTTGGAGCAGCTGGTGACAAGGTCTCCTTGTTTGAAGAAACTCAGGTTGGATGACCTTGTTACCATCCGCCAACTCTATCGCCTAATGATCAAAGCTCCTCAGCTCACCCATTTGGGAATAGGTATGTTTATTTACACAAGGGAACAAGAAGCTGTTGTGGGTGAACTAGAATTTAGCTATGCTTTTGCTGTATGCAATTCATTAGTTTCTCTTTCTGGATTCAGGGATCACTTTCCTAGTTATCTACCTGCTCTGTATCCCGTTTGTGCCAACCTGACCTCTCTCAATCTCAAATATACTCTCATCAGCTCTGCACATTTCAAAGAAGTCATTTTTCACTGCCATAAACTACAGAGCCTGTGGGTGTCTGCTAGAGTCTGCGACGAAGGGCTTGAGGCAGTAGCAGCAACATGTAAGGATCTGCTAGAGCTTCGTGTTTTCCTGGATGTGTACTCTGAGGATGAGGACGACGACGACTTTGTCGTGTCTGAAGTTGGTTTGCTTGCAATTTCTGACGGTTGCCGGAGACTAGAATATGTATTATATGTCTGCAATAGAATGACTAATGCAGCTCTTGTTGGACTGTCGAAGAACTGCCCAGATCTTTTGGTATTCCGTCTCCACACACCGGGGTGGAGAAGTCGGGACTATTATACGTGGGACTCGATGGATGAAGGGTTTGGGGCGATTCTTATGAACTGTAAGAATCTTAGACGCCTTCACACATCTGGTTTATTGACAGACCAGACTTTATGTTACATTGGACAGTATGGGAAATCACTGCGTACTTTGTCTGTTGGTGTTGCTGGAAAGAATGAAATGGGGCTGAATTTTGTGCTCAACGGTTGCCCTAAGTTATTAAAGCTTGAGATAAGTGATTTCCAATTTGGAGATTCAGCTTTGCGTTCTCTTTTGCATCATTTTTACAGGCTGCAATTTGTGAAGATTTCAACATGCGGGGTAACTCATCAATGCTGTGAGGAAATTGCCCGCCAATTACCTCAGTTGGTAATAGAAGTGGCTCACATGAGTGGCTATGACACACCTTCGGATCAGAGGGGCTATGACACTCTATTCATGTACCGATCTCTTGATGAAGCAAGCTCCATATGGACCAAAGTATGTGCAAATCTTCTAAAGTTATATGATGTCACTGGGAAGAATAGAATTCCCTTGTTTACCTGACCCTACTCTGCTGATGGCTGATGATGTAGTGTTGTGAATGTTTGAGTAATTTCCATCATGACTGAGCAATGAAGTTTTATTTGGATGACCTTGTTTCTATTGAACAACTTTATTGCGTAATGATTAAAGCTCCTTTGGCTTTGCTCACCCATGTTATTAGATTTTGCTCATTTCCCATTCAGTTTTGAATGGGAAGGGGATATGGGTGTGATGCATCAGTTAGTTGATTTGGTTTTGGGACAATTACAAAAAATATTACTTCCAACAACAACCGCCGGTTGTGGCTTAAAATATATTTACCCAAATCTAAACAATACAATTACTTTGATTAAACGAATGAGAAAAAAAATCAAATTAACTTGAAATATTTAAGACAAATTTACCAGATTCTATATTTGACGCTCTTTCATATTTCTATATAGTTGTAATGTTGATTCATTCAAAACACGGTCAAGTATTTTATCTTTCTAAGGGATTTTGTATTGCTAAATTTGAAATTGAATGTGTGCCACTAACTTATAAAGTCAAACGCCACAATGACATGGTTTAATTTCTTGTGAAAAACTCACTCATGATAGATACGCTTTGGCCAGCAAATGTGTAATAGTTCTTTCACTTATTTGTGACGATACAAATGCGTTACAAATACATTTAGGGCTCGTTTGGTACTTTGCACATTAAAACTTTACATGTAAAATGATTGCACGTAAAGTGTAGGGTTGTAATTAGTTTACGTGTAAAATAAAAATACACCGTTTGACCATCAGTGTAATCTATTTTTAAATTACACGCAAACTCTTTACCATGCTTGTTTGGAAAATAATAAAATATTCCCTATTAACAAACGGACCATATAACAGCATATGCAAATCCATAGCAGCCAGATCAATATAGAAAACTCAAACCCTACCAGAACGATGAGTCATACGCCTAGAGCAATAATCAACAACTAAAATCAATCCTACCGTACCAGAGTACCAGCACTTACATGAAATACTCCATATTATATTACGGAGTATATACATACACACTCATATACGTACCAGAGTATCAGCACTTACATGAAATACTCCATATTATATTACGGAGTATATACATACACACTCATATACGAAGTACTACGGATAATAAATATAATATACGATAAACCTGAGCATACTATCCCATCCACTCAGAATTATCATCTCTCTCAAAATTAAATTCCACAAATTCAATTTTCAAGCACAAAAAAATATGGAAAAAAACAAACCGATCAACTAAAATAAACTACAAACATATCTCTTGCAAGATGGAGTGCAGGGCAACGCAACACAGAAGATAGGTTGTGATACGGTGGACGATTTTGTATTAATTAATGAATGTAAAGTAGTTTACCACCCTCTTCCCACGTAAAGTATTTTACATGGTACAGTGTAAAGTGTTTTTAAAAAAATGTCCTACAGTTTACATTAAATAGTTAAAACAAACGGTGTAAAATGTTTACACCTCCACACTTTACACGCAAAGTGTTTACTTTACATCATAACAAACGGGCCCTTATGCTAAAATTGGTGATGGGTTTGCGCAACTCCCTTGTTGAATATATTTTGAACTTTTGTAGTTACGTCTTGCAAATGCCACATTTTTGTTTGTGGTGAACATGCTGGAGTTCATTTACTACCACTTCTACCATTTGTACAGTCTATGGAGCCCGTTTGGTAGCCCTATATTTTGGCTTATCAGTCAACTGTTTCACCAAACACAACTTTTGATTTCAAACGTTGAATTGTATGATAATAAGAAAAAGTAAGATTGAAGTTGTTTTTCTGATTGTATTAGCTAAAGTTATTGTAGAGGATCATTTTAGCTATTTTCATATAGTTTTTTTATTTATTTTGTTAATAAAATATATTTTAAATATAATTTTTCATAAATCAGCATAATCAGTCAATCCAGTGACTTCAGTCAGAGCTTCATAAATTTCAACAGAATCAATTGATTCAGCCAATTTCAGTGTCAGCAAATGGGCTCTGGGGTAAAATTATATCCTGAGAAGGTGAAAATACGGTAATGGCACATTTTTCAATGATTGCACATGCATTATAATGGGAACGATTTTTAATTTTTTACGTAGTATATACTGATGACAAGCTTTTACTAACAGTTCATATTTATAAAACTAATACCTTGAATGTGGTTTAAGACTTTAAGCTATTATTATTGTATATGATGTATACTTGCATATGTGAAGTTCCTCCTATGCTTTTCTTTTTCAAAGAATGTAAGATGTCACCAAGCAAAAGAATTACTTTAATCTTCTAAAGTGACAATTTTTTCAACCAGATGCGTTATTTTTTTTTAACGATGTTCAATGTTCAATTACAATGGACTGCTTTTAGATTCTATTTATTTTTTACTTCTTTAAAACACATTTCACAACATTATTTTTACTCAAGACCTATATTATTTACTGTAAACTCAACCGCCAGTTGCACTATCATTCTATAGTTTGAACAAGAAATAACATTTATTTATGGATTCGTTAATGACCAAATTACAGCACCCCCACAAATTTCTTTACACTCCTTTGTTAGTTCCTACGCGAATTAAAACATGTAAGAGCATCAACAATGCTGATGGCTTTTACCCCTTCCTCTCTTTTCCACATCATTTCCCACCAAAAACTTAATCTTCTCTAACCTATCACACTTTCCCCCCACTACGGTGATCTAGGTCACTTAAAATTTGTACATTTTCTCCATTTTTTTTTTATATTCCACCATTATTAATTTATATAATTTGATAAAGGAATATAAAATCCACATTTGACCCACTACAATTATTTATTGTTGGTTGGAAAATCTAGGTAGAGAATGAGTTCGATCAATTTTCAGACGAAAATTATTCTAAAACAGATAAAATAAGATGCAAGAGGGAAATAAGTGGTAAATTTCGAAGTGACTAAACATATCCTTCATTGGTGTTCGTTTATAGAGAAAAAAAAATCTGACTTTTTGGTATATTTTTTTTACAATAAATTAAATTTAAGCAATAATAAATGTAATTTGGGAGTTGGGAGATATTTGATAAGGTTGGCTAAATAAAAAGCCACATGGCCTTTTTTGATTGGTTAGTCACAAATTTTTTGTAAGCACCCATTCTTGAGCTACCAATTTGATACTCCCTCCGTCCCTCAATACTTTGCCAAGTTTGACCGGCACGGGGATTAATAAAGTAAAAACTGTGTGGTTGAGGTATGAGCAGAGGAGAGAGAATTAATTGGAACCACAAATTCTTTACTTAAAAGAGAAAGTGGCAAAGTTAGTGGAACATCCAAAAAAGGAAAGTTGGCAAAGTTATAAGGGACGGAGGGAGTATTAATTAATGATCTTGCATAATGGGGATCAAGTAGGGTTATTTTTTTATCCTCATAGACCTCTCATAGTGGGTGCCCTAAGAGCACCCACAATGGGTGGTTAGCATTTGATCGGGCAAATCCAAGGGTCAAAAATGAGTTCTGACAAATGCTGGGCAAGTGGCTTTTTTTGTTTGCCAAGTTGGTGTATTGCGTGGAGTAGGCATGGACCCGGGCCGGGTCAAGGCCCGGTCGGGCCTCGGGTCCTATAACGGTATGCCCGGGACCGGCCCGGTCAATGACCGGTTCCGGTTCGGGCCGGGTCACCCGCCCGGGTCACGGTTCGGGCCACCCGCCGGGCCGGGCCGGGCCAGTACAATTTTTTTTATTTATTAATTATATATTATACAAATTGCTATTAAAAACAAAGTTCAAGTGCATTTATTTGAAATAAGAACTACATTTGAGAATTGAGAAAAAAATAACAATACGAAATACATTTTGTAAATTGTAATGAATATCAATTGGGATTTCCGCCACCAGACTTCATATGTTTTATTGGCATCCCGTATCCGTATGAACGCCCCAAGCAACAGTCTTTCTTGCACCACCTGCAAGTTGCCCACCACAGTCCGGTCTTCGGGTCCTTCCACTTGTCAAAATTGTTTTGCATAAGGGAAGATGTACTTTCCATATTTAAAATGGTATATGTATAAGTAGGAATGTAGGATAATAAGAGAAGATGAAGATGGAGAAGAGTTTGAGAAGAATTGGAGAAAAGGTGTAGAAAAATGTTAGAAAATAGATGTATTTATAGGTGTTTTTGAACCCCACTCCCCACACCACCACCCCCGGGACCCCCCTGCCCCCCACCCATAGCCCCAACGGCTATATAGCCGTTTGGGAGCTTTAAATTTTTTTTTTTTTTTTTAAGTTATACACATATTGTAAAATAAATTAATTAATTTAATGAATTAAGTAAAACTAAAACAAATGTTACAAAATAGGTGTATAAGTATTTAAACAAATTACATATTCTAAATGTACTTTTAATTTAAAAACCGGCTTTATATTTTACAAAAATAATTTTAAGTCGTTAGATTGTAACCAATTAATTAATTTGAGAAGTGCTACATATGAAAAAGTGAACACATATTTATTTGAAATATGAAGTACAAGTTTACAAATTAATTTGAACTACAACTACAAATTTACAATTTTGAAATATGAAGTACAAGTTTACAATTTTGAAATATGAAGTACAAGTATAAATAAATTTGACAAGTGCTATAAAATACATTTTGTAATAAATTCTAAAATACTAATCAATCGGAATCTCCGGCATAGGTAGAGCCACCATCGGTTGTTGAGTCATCCATAAAATCTTGGGAGGGGGTGATGCTCAATTCTTGAGTTCTACGTGCGGCCTTCAACCAATCGTGGTAGCATATAAGCGTTTCAAGTAGAATTAATGTGTGTCTCTACAATTAAAATTATAGCAACTTTTGAAGTAAATAACTAGTACAATAAAAAATGTAACAACAATGCTAATTAAGTAGTTAACTAGTATAGTGACAAATGTAACAAACTAACAACTAGTTAAATAAAATGTGAAGTATTTTAATTAGTATAATGAAAAATGTAACAAGAATGCTAATTAACTAATTAACTAGTATAATGAAAAATGTTACAATAATGATAATGAACTAATTAACTAGTATAATGAAAAATGTAACAAGAATGCTAATTAACTAATTAACTAGTAAGTAATATATAATATAATGTTTATATTATATAATATATAAGTAAACTACTATAAGATGAGTAATACACTTATATTTTATACTTTAATATATAAAATACATATTAAGTAGCTAGATGTAGAATGTATGTATTAAGTGGATATAATAATTGTATAAGAATTAAATATTAGAGTATAATGGAGAATTGGAGATTGGAAAATAAGTATATATAAAATATAAGTAGAGAAGTAGATATTATTATGTATTAAGTATATAGTAATAGTTTATAAAGTATATTTAATACTTTATTATATAAAGTATATATTAAGTAGATATAGTATGTATGTATGTATTAAGAGATATAAGTAGAGATTAAGTAGATAAGAAATATAAGTAATATAGTATATGTAGATAATAATATATAAGTAGATAATTAATATATATAAGTAGATATAATAATTGTATAAGTATTAAATAGTAAAATAAAATATAAAGGAGAATAAGAGAATTTGAGAAGATGAATATGGAGAATTGGAGATGAGTAGAGAGTAGGATTTAGATAGAGTTGGAGAAGAGGTGTGAAAAAATGTTTAAAATTAGGAGTATTTATAGGTTTTTTTTTAACCCCAACCCCCACCCCACCCCCCCACCCAAAGCCCCCTTGACCCCCCCCCCCCCCGGTACCACCCAACGGCTATATAGCCGTTTGGGTGACCGTTGAGCCACCAAAAGAAGCAAAAAAAAAAAAAAAAAAAAAAAAAAATTAAAATTTGGACCGTTAGGCCCGGGCCTCCAAAATCAGGACCCGAGCCCGGTCCCGGTTAACCGACCGGGTCTGTGCCCGAACCGGACCCGGACCCGCGAACCGGGCCGGTTCCGGGCCCGCACAGTGGCGGGCCGGGCCGGTCCCGGGCCGGGCGGCCCGAACCGGGTCCACGCCTAGCGTGGAGGAAGGAGAGATTTCTTCTCCCACATTTGTAGCCACAAATCCCACCAACCTTTTAATTTAATATTTTATGAATTAAATTAATTTATTTTACAAAAAAAATTATATCAAAAAATCAGATTTTTTTTCCATCTATAAATAGACACCAATGAAGGATATGTTTACTCACTTCGAAATATAGCACTTCTTTCCCTCTTGCATCTGGTTTTATCTGTTTAGATTATTTTTTCTCCCTAAAAAAGGATCCAAACCGTTCTCCCCCTAGATACTACACCAATAGCCCCCCATTCCAAAGAATTCCTCGTTCTGCACAACAATCTAGTCTGGAACTGAAAAACAGTCCAAAAGAAAATATTCTAAATAAATTAATAAAGGTGGAATATATAAAAAATAAGGAGAGAGAGTGTAAAAATTAAAATGTGACCTAGGTCAACATAGTGGAGAGAAATTGTGATAGGTTAAAGGAAATTAAGTTTTTGGAGGAAAGTGACGTGGAAGAGAGAGGTGAGGGTCAAAACCCACCACCATTGTGGATGCTCTAATAGAATGATCGAACCAGCCATGTTTAGTGCTGGACTCGGGCCGGACGGCCCGAACCGGAACCGGCCCGGCCCGGTTACTGTGTGAACCGGCCCGGCCCGGTGGCCCGGTCCACCGGCGGTTCGGGCCGAACCGGCCCGGTGGATACCGGTTCCGGGCCCGGGCCCTATATTTGGTGAACCGGCCCGGCCGGTTCGGGCCCGGTCCGGGCCGGAATAATTTTTTTTTTAATTTTTTTTTGATTTTTTTTTAATTTTTTGGTTGGATTAGGTATTTTGGGCCATTTGAGGTGGTTTGGGGTGGTTTGGGGTTGAGGGGGAGGGGTAGGGGGTTAAATAAGAGAAGCCAAAAAATCAAAAAAAAAAAAAAGGGGGCGGGTGAACCGGCCCGAAACCGGCCCGGTCTGGCCCGGAACCGGCCCGGAACCGGTCACCTGCCGGTTCAGGCCCGGGCCCTCCTTTTGGTGAACCGAGGCCCGGCCGGTTCAAGGCCCGAACCGGGCCCGGCCCGAACCGAGTCCAGCACTAGCCATGTTCTATTAACGTAACTGCTCGTCTGCTCCCATGAGTATTTCGTTTGAATAATGGGCGTCTCGAGTACTTGAACACAGAGATGTACATTATAATTTGTTGTTAAAAGTGAACATGCTTATATTACAAAATTTTATTGTCAAATAAAACATCCAGCCCCATTTGATAGTTTCTGGTCCAGCTTGAATCTTTTTGGTATAATTTGATTTACACAGTTAATTAATGATAAGTAATAAACACATGAAAGAAGCAGAGAACAGCAAGCATGATAAGATTCTTGAAAGCTAGAACTTTGAACGGTATAAGAATGATTCTCCAAATGAGATGTATAATAAATAATTACATATGCTAATAACAAAAATTTACAGACGGATAGTAACAAATTAATTAATCAAGAATCCCCATGGATGTCTGAAGCGGCCATCTTCGTCGAAGAAAGGGTGACAAGTAAAGATGACACACAGAGCAAGAGAGAATGAAAGATATTGTCTTCCTTTTGATAGTTTAATAACAAAGTAAGAGAGGAAGAATTTTCAATTGTAGCCAAACACCCCAGAAAATTATTCTGATTCCAAGTTTTAGGAGTAAAATCAGTTCCGAGAGAGAGATCCAAAAAACACAGACAATGGTGAAAAGCAACAAACTTTGAGATGTGTTCAGATCGTTACTCCCTGGAGGGAACTAAAAATTCTGAGGTCTGCTTAGTTGGAGTAAGGCGGTGAGTCCATACAAAGATGGATTAAACTTCTTTGGTATTGCCCATAATATTCAACAACTGCATTTGCATCTTCATTCTCAGGACTCAGTCCAGGCAAACTAACCAATTTATCCTTCTCCGATGACATGCCGTCAAAATCCAAACCGGATAGTAAGTCAGCATGTATTTCACGGCAAGTGAGAATAAACAGTGCTGCCGTGTCTGGTAGTTGTGCCTCACGAATTGCTGCCAGTGCCTCTTGAAATGCACCAGCTGCTACAAACAAGATAAGTGCCCTGCAATGTAATCACCATTGAGTAAAAGACATGTAGAGAGGAATGTTAAGAAGTAGTTTTCATAATAGAAGAAAACAAGAAGAAAAAATAAAAAATTCTTTGCCTTTATCATTATCATCTCTTGCGTTTGAATTAAAGTAAAATAAAAAGTAAAAAGGACTTTGGAAGGAAAATAAAGTTAAAAGGGTATAGATTTACAGTTTTAGCCATCACAACATACCCAATAAATTTAAGATGCAGGGGAAAAACATGTTTTATAATGAATAGTGATATTCTTTCATTTTGGAGAAAGAGGTTGCAAAGTAAGGCCAATTTACTTTCCATCCTTGTCTTGCCTTCCCTCGCAAATGAAGTGTTTTCTAACCATATTGTATTTTCTATATTTCTATTTAAGATGCAGGGGAAAAAACATGTTTTATAATGAATAGTGATATTCTTTCATTTTGGAGAAAGAGGTTGCAAAGTAAGGCCAATTTACTTTCCATCCTTGTCTTGCCTTCCCTCGCAAATGAAGTAACCATATGAGTGAATTCCCTAAATAGGACTAAAAAGTGGAAAAATTGCACAAATAGGACTACATTTTTTAAATTCCCTTAATAGGACTATTTATGTGTGTTTGGACAAATATACCCTTGTAACTTGTGAAATGTTTTAATTAATAATAAAATCATAAAAAATTAATAAAAATCGAAAAAAATACTAAAAATCGTAAAAAAATAATAGAAAATTAATAAAAATATTTTTTTAAAAAAATAAAAAAAATATTTTTTTTAAAAAAATAAAAAAAAAATAAAAAAAAATCATAAAATTAAAAAAAACACATTACCACCCCTGCCACCCCCAACACCACCATCTCCCATCACCGGACAAAAATATGCCAACATTTTAAATAATGCCATAATGATGGCATAATCAATGAAAATGTTGGCATATTGAAGAGTAATTATGCCATCTTTTTGGCATTTTCAGAAAAATATGGCATTTTTTTATCAAAAGTGGAAGAAATTTCACCAATCGAAGGTGGTGGTGCTGGGAGGCGGCGGGAGGCGGTGAGAAAGGTATCCATAATTTTTTTCATTTTTTATGGGTTTTTACTATTTTTTATTATTTTTTTAAAAAAATTAAAAAAAATAAAAAATTAAATTTTTTATTTTATAAATGTTTTTTATTTTTTTTTAAATTTTTTTACGTTTTTTAAATATTTGTTTACGTTTTTTGTGATTTTATTATGAATTAAAGCATTTCATTATGAATTAATACTCTTAGGGGTATTTAGGGTAGAAAATCAATGTTTAGTCCTATTTAGGGAATTTTAAAAATAGTAGTCCTATTTGTGCTTTTTAGGAACTTTTTAGTCCTATTTAGGACAATTTCCGTAACCATATTGTATTTTCTATATTTCTTTCTTCCCAAATTTAAAGTTAGAACAGAGATTAGGAGTTTACCTCCAAATGTTATGTTCATGGGATAGCACATGCTCAGCCCACCGTTGCAAAACCCTTCATTCATGATAAAGCAAAGTAAGAATTATCCATATGTAGTTGTAATAAATCATCATCTCCACCACCTTAATGCAAACTACTTGGGTTTGGTGGAAGGTGTTGAAACCCGAACCCTATTTGCATTGGGCTTGTAGTTACCCTAATTGTAGCTATAAATATGGCTATTGTTGTAATGCTTTAAGATATCAATAATAAGAATGAGAGTTATATTTCACATGGTGTGAAATAAATATGGCTATTGTTGTGATGCTTTACTACATCAATAATTGTTTAAGCTATCATCACCTCTCCACCCCTCAATACGCATTTATTTCACACCTATCTGATGTGCATATTCCTAAAACCACCCGTGAGGAACTGTCACATCCGGAGTGGCGTTGCGCCATGTTGACTGAGATGGAGGATGTACATTCTAGTGGGGCGTAGGAATTAGCTCCCTTACCTCCAGGAAAATCGATGGTTGATTGTTGGTGGATTTATATTGTTAAGGTTGGGCCTGACGGAATAATTGATTGTTTTAAAGCATGTATGATAGTGAAGGGGTATACTCAGGTTTATGGGTTGGATTGTACTCATATACTTTTCTGTGCCCAAAAATGCATCTGTTCGATTGCTTTTGTCTATGGCGTCCATGAGTCGTTGGTCATTGCACCAATTGGATATAAAATGCTATTCTGAAGAAGTTAATATGGAGCAATCATTGGGTTTTGTTGCTTAGGGGGAGTCTGGCCTTATGTGCAAGTTATGTTGTTCCTTATGTGGTTTGAAGCAATCTCCGCTTGCACGGTTTGGGAAATTTGGTGATGTTATTCGTGGATTGGCATGATCCGAAGTGATGTTGATCATTCTGTTTTCTATAGACATTCCACAAGAAACAGGTGCATTTAGTTATTTATATATTTTAATGACATTGTCATTATAGGTGAAGATGAACAGGAAATCACTCAACTCAAGGAATATCTCTTAAGCAAATTCCAAATGAAAGATTTGGGGAAGCTAAAATATTTCACGGATATTGACGTTGCACAATCTCGCAATGGTAATGTCCTTTCCCAAAGGAAGTATGCGTTCAATATTCTTGAAGAAGCAGGTTTGTTGTAGTGTAGGACCATGCGATGGCCCTTGTTGCACGTGAGATTTTGTGGTTAAAGCACCTCCTTCAAGAATTAAGGTACGGAAACATGAAAGATGAAACCAGTAGAGTTGTGTGTGATAACCAAACTGCAATGCACATTGCATCTAACCCAATTTTTCATGTGAGGACAAAACATATTGAAGTTGGTCACTTCATCCAAGAGAAGATTTTAAGTAGACAAATTATCACAAGTTATGTCAGCACGAAAGATTAGCTTGTAGATGTTTTAACACAATTTCTTCAAGGTCCTAGATAGAATACATTTATAACAAGCTTGGTGCATGTGAATTATATGCTCAAGCTTGAGGGGGGGGGGGGGGGGGGGGGGGGGGGGGGTTGAAATCCTAACCCTAATTCTTATGCTTTAATGCATCAATAGTAAGAGTGAGATTCATATTTCACAACATGAAATTTACTTTCAATTGTTGATTTTATTGTGAAACAAACAGTGGCAAACTTTTATGCTTGATCGCGTGATGTTGCATACTTCTTATCCTCTTTACTCGTTAGAGTTGGTTGGTATTTAAATGGAGTTTTTTTCCTTTTTAAACACCGACCCTAATTTTATTTCTTCCATCAACCATTTCAGACACAATCCAGAGAGCCTGCCTCTTCATTTTTTCATTATCACCAATACCGGAGCAATCCTCCGAAGGAACTAGTTTAATCTCTGAATTCTCTCTCTGTAATCGATCTTATTTTTCTGTTTCCCCTCCTTTTACCCCCCCCCCCCCCCCCCCCGAATCTTCCATTTCTAGGTAGCTCATTACCTTTTCATTGTAAGGAGTCTAAAATGAGGATAAATTTATAAGTTTAGATTATAATAATGCAATGGATGGTGTTTTTTGTTTTGAAGATTTCTAATTGAAAACTTAGAATCTTAAGCAAGTTCTAAGTTTTTAGTATGGTTTGGCATGTATATTTTATCCCTTCATGTCCTATTCACTTCCAGTTGTTTACTTTTAAGAACAATACTTTGTGTGTTTTTAATTTCTGCATGTCAAGTTCTAATTCCACTAACTAATAATGAATAATCTATTGTGCCCTATTTCACCATGTCTTATTCACTTCCTCGAGGGCCAGCTTCACATTTTAAAACCTTGCCCACATCGGATCCAATAAAATTGGAGCTAGCATACTGCAGTTGGAAAGGAGGAATTAAAAACAACACCACACTATGAAAGGTCCAACAAGAGGCCAGGGGAACTGGATGCCTCTAATGGGTTGTAACTCAGATCAATTGGGAAGAAAGGAGAAGGGGAACCAGCAAGCTAAACCCACTAGTGCAATATACTTGTTAAGAGTAGAGGATGATTTTGATCATATTAACCAACCTTACTATTAGGATGGCAAGATGCAAAAAGGAACATTTCCAAAAAAAAGAGTAAAAACAAGGTAGTTTCTATAAATAGGAGTATTATGTTTTCCCCCAAAATAGGAGTGGTCCTTTCATCTTATTGATAGTACCGTTTTAAGATGACATTAATTACTCCTATTGGGGGATACTACTCCTATTCAGGGAGACCATATTGTTTTTAATCCAATTTAGAGCAATTTCTTAAGCAAATAAGGTAGAGAAGCAGAGAACCTCAGCATAATAAGCAGACACAAATTAGTTTCTTAGCATTCAAACAGGTAAATATGTAAGATAGAGAAGCAGACAACCTGGCATAATCCGATCCTTGTAAATGTGAAGCAGCTAATGTTGCAGCATCTGTCCAACATCCAGCATCTTGTAACTGCCATTTAGAGAGAAGAGTTGAATATCAGCGGAACATATGAGAGAAATTCATAATGCTACATGCCATTCAAGTTTAATTATCCGTTTCTATTAACTAAGGCCTGGGCCCTAGGATTCTAATCAAATATGGCTCATGCCAGTACAACTAGAAATAAACAGAAAAAACTGTTGGGTATTCTACTTTAACAAGAATCAAAGGGGAAAATAAATATCACAGCCTTCATCTGAAAACATTTTGTCTATCCCCTTATTTGGGAGGATGCATGGCGTAAAAGAAAAGGAAAAAACAGGGAATATAGGTATTTAGTTATATTAAAAGAAATTGTCCAAATTTGGCCATTTAAGCGTGGTATGCTTAAATGAGTTGGTACAGACATACATGAATTCAATTATTGGAATTTTCTCCAGAGATAATTTCACACTCTCACTTTGTAGCCAAAAAGGTTGTTTTAAGAGAAATGCCAAAACTTTGTTCACCAACATCCAATCCTTGTTCCCAAAACAGTTTGGGGTCGGCTAAAAGGGGATGGGTGCAACACAAGGACTTCCTTGGAGTCATCCATTCTAGTACTACTATCACCCAAGCTGGCCGAGCACGCTTAACATAGTTGTTAGCAGTTGAGAAACATAATGTTCTTGAAAAAACTTAAAAAGAAAAAGAGCATGTAATTTCCTAGTTGGGCTGAAGCCTGAAGGGAGTTAACATGGGGAATTATCAACTTCCTACCAACTTCAAAAACAAAATAATGACAGTATAACTACAAATAAAATAGAAACATGATCAGGTATTCATCAAAAAGCAAAATAAAAACACCAGACTTGACTTGCTAGCGATACTGCGATAGGAGAATCCCGGGAAAGACATAAAAAAAGGGAAGCCCGGTGGGTGCACATTGGCATCCCTGCAAGGCAAGGGTTCTGAGAAGGGTCCCACCACAAGGGTGTATAGAGGGCAAGCCTTCCCTTGTCAATTTTTTTTTACAAGAAGTTACTCCCAAGACTTAGAACCCAAGAGAAGGAAAATTGTAAAATAAGTAGAAATTGATGGTGCATAGGTATGTAGCATCTTTTGAGAAGGTTTGTGGAGTATGGTCATTTACTCATTTAAGTTTCCAATAATTTGAAATATGAAGCAGGGAACTACAGCAATTCCATTCCTATAGTTTTTTTTTCTTCCATAGATAGTCGTGCTTAGCCTAAAGGTTGTTCAAAGGTGACAAATGTCAAAATTTTGTTGACCAACAGAAGATTCTACAACTTCAGAAACAAAAGAAAACATTAAAAAGAAAAGGAACATGTAATTTCCTAGTTAGACACTTGGACTGTGGCACAAGATGATTATGAGATGTCCAAAACCATAGAGACATAACTGTTATTACCAAGATGTGAAATTATAATGAGATTCATGTAAAAGAATGATAATGATATTACTAACTCACTTTTAAGTTTAAAGTTTAATCACAAATCATGACAGTAAAACATAGCATATTTCTACCAAGCTTAACATGCTCTCAGAAGCAACATCACTTTTTCACAAATAAAAACACACCTTAATGCTGTTATATGAGAAAATGGGACACAGTACCTGAGAACAAGCTTCCTGATATCTCCCAACAGCACAAAGCAGGTGTGTACCAGACAATGAACTGTCTGTTCTAACCATATTTGCAGCAACAACCTGTACAAGTATAACAAAAATGATAAATGAGTGTGAGATTTAACATCAGAATAGTACACATACTTCCTAGCGAGTCATCACTCTATGAGGGGCACAATATGATTGTTTAAAGATCAAATGTGTTAATTTTTCACTTTTTTGCGTTAAGATATCACCTGATCCCGGTGTGCCAATTCAAGGAGTAACTCCCTATGGAGTCTGCAATGTAAGAGTACCAAGGAAGCAGTTTGAGAAACAAAGTACCTTCACAGCAAGTTCAAGTAGAGACCCTGACACCGCTGATGAAAGAGCAACAGCACGCAATGCATTTGGATAAAAATATGAGCTCTCCGGAGGAGTTGACAGTAATAAGCTAACAGCAGCTTCTAAGTTTCCAACAGACACAAGTCTGATAATTAACAAGCAAATCATAATATTAGGCTAAAGAGATTATCAGATGATTATAGAACAAAACCAACTCATTAATGAATTGCTCAACTTCCAAATAGAATATGGATAGAACATACAAGTATGTAGATGGCAGGGTAATGTCAGAAGTTACCTTCAGTAGGGCTAACAGTTATGCTAGACTATAGTAGTCCTTTTCGTAAGGAAAAGAACACTGTTTCAGGCTAGTTGAGCCTACATATAATAAAGGGGATAAGTACAAAGAAGGTACGTGTGGTTGTGGGCATCTTCAAATAGGGGCATGGGGTTCTTTTTTTTACAAAGTGGGGCATGTGCTTTCACTTTGAGGGTTTCCGTCTAAACACCGTAAAAAAGAAGGCGACATGGATGTATAAAAAGTGACACGCCACCTTTCTGACGGAGTTTAGGCGGAAACCCTCAAATGGAAAGCACATGCCCCACTTTGTGAAATAATGAACCTCATGCCCCTATTTGAAAATGCGCACAACCATAAGTACCTCTTTTGTACTTATCCCTATAATAAATGATGTTTGCTCTATTTTAAAATAAACAAGTCGACTAGACTAAAGGGTAAATTTTATAGGACATCAATTAGGCCTGCATTACTGTATGGCATAGTGTGGGGCGGTGAAACAATGTCACATCCAAAAGATGAGTGTGGCAGAGATGCGCATGTTGTGTTGGATGTGTGGACATACTAGGAAGGACTGCGTGAGGAATGAGACAATCAGACAAAGGGTGTGAGTAGCACCTATTGAAGACAAGATGCGGGAGTCACGCCTACGGTGGTTTGGTCATGTGCGTAGGAGACCGAGTGATGCACCTGTCAGACGAGTTGAGATGTGTGAAGAAGAGACAGTGAAGAGAGGGAGAGGAAGGCCCAAACAGACGTGGGTTAGGGGAGTCCGAAGTGATATGCTTCTTCTTGAGTTAGATGAGGGTATGACTTTGGAGAGAGCAATGTGGAGGAGTGATCTCGTATCATCTTTTCCCCTCATCTTTTTTTTCTTTTTTTATCATTTTATCCTTATACATATATATATATATATATATATATAGGAAATCTTTCCGGTAAGGTATACCTTACCGGAGCCGCCGTGCGGCCTCCACGTTTTGAGGACCTTCCCGGTAGCATTTTTCAATGAAATTTTTTGAGCATGTTCTTCATCAAGTCTAGTACATCCATACCAAATTTCAGCAAAAAATTCAATCGGGAAGGCAGCCAAACGATTTTTGGAAGATAACTGCGTTTTATATGTATATAAAAAAGTGCAGTCATCTTCCAAAAATCATTTGACTGCCTTCCCGATTGAATTTTTTTCTGAAATTTGATATGGATGTACTAGACTTGATGAAGAACATGCTCAAAAAATTTCATCGAAAAATTCCACCGGGAAGGCCCTCAAAACGTGGAGGCCGCACGGAGGCTCCGGTAAGGTATACCTTACCGGAAGAGTTCCCTATATATATATATATATATATATATATATATATATATATATATATTTATATATATATAAACATTATTTTTATCCTTTTTTTTATCAAATATTCATCTCTTTTATAATAGCTTATCTTTTTTATCTTTATTTTCTTTCTTTCCCTTTTGGTGGTGATATCATGTATCGATTCATGTTAGCCGACCCCAATATCATTTGGGACTAAGGCTTGGATGTTGTTGTTGTTGTTGATAGATTTTTTGTTCGTCAGTGGAATGAAACCAATCACCTTTATTGGTACATCTTTTTGTAGGTTCTGTTCACAAAGTTGGGCTTAAGATCAATAATTTTGGTTTTTGGGTGGTATGTTTGGTTCAGATATCAGATCACCATAAAATGCCCACCTGCAGGCTATGTTTGGCCCCGTAGTACCACCGTTGATGGAACATAGAAAATGGAATTTCAAAAATGAAAATATTACAAGTTATGAAGTGATGAACACTCACTCATGTACACGATTTTGGATAGCCTCCTCACCCTCCAGTTTCTCATGCCAAGGGATACGTTCATTAGCACACTTCAATAACTCTTCTTCTTCAAAAGCCATCAATCTCAGTTTGCTTTTACCCTGCCAGACAATAAGCCAGCTAGCACTCAAGGTCATTTGAATGGACATGGTGGCAGTCATAGAGTGCATTCAAGATAGACTTATTTTTTAGAAATACGTGATTTTAGGAGGACGATCAGTACTTTTACTTTTAAAAGAAACGCTTGACAAGAAAATGGGAAAAATGCTTCTAAACCCTAACAGAAATAAACCAATTTAATGCTTATTAGAAAGCACATATTGTTGCTTTATTGGGAGGTTTACATTGGAAGGGAAGATTCTTTTCAGTCACTTCATGCGTTTAAATGACAAAGGAACATTGGGATAAAGGAACTTCAGTCACCTATATCATAAGTTGTCTCAAACAGGTACATAGTCATACCTTTTATCGAAGATGATTATAAATAAAACTAGTGTAGCATTTGCTAGAAGTGTGAAATGTTTACAAAGTTAAATGGCTAACCACCTCATTCCTTTCCTGTGATCCAGGGGTAACTTTCCCCTTTGATGATATCCTATTCAGCATAGTTTCCTCATCAAGCTCTGGAGCAGTTGATTGAGAAACTTTTACTGGAGACTTGTTACCCAACTTCTTCATCCAGTGGTTGATGGCATTAGGTAATTGCAGCCAGAAAAGTGCTTCCATTGGTTCTCCAAATATTGCAGCGGAAAAAGCAAGTCTTACTGCAGAACCTTTGTTGACTATACTCCCATAGAGTCTCCTGATCTCGTTATCAAGTATGCAGCCTTGAGCACAAGCAATGAAAGGACAGAAAAATAAGTTGCAGTTCCTTCCGAAGTGCTTGACCAAAACATTGACTGGTCAGAACAAACGGCACCCAAAGGATATAATCAATACACACCTTCTCTGCGATAAGGCTCCAATACTTTAAGAAGCATCTCTGGCACAACAGAATCACCAATTCGTGGGGAATGCAACATGTAACTGCAAAGATCACTAGAGGATGATTGCATTTCAGCAACATCATAATCCCTTTTATCCATGGATGTATTGAATGTATTGAACCATAGTGGCTTCAAACCCAACTGTAAGATCGTCCGCAGTGCCTGAAATAATTTAATACTTAAACAGACATGTAATAATATAAGCATATTAACGCTCTTTTCCAGGTGCCTCTTCAAACAAAGGTTCGAGTGCGGTCTGGCATAGAGGGAAAGTGGACTGCTCACTAAGTTTATTGCATGAAGCTAGTTTTATACTCCCTCCTCCCCTTAATAAGGTTCACACTTTGACTTGGCAAGAGTACTAACTACTAACGAATCACCTTTTGTGTGTTATGATATCCAAGTTTACCATAGCAATATGTTGCTTGAGGGTATTATTTGTGATAGGGTGAGAATATTAGATTAGGGTAGTATAGTGAAATTTAGGGACAGGCCAACAAGGAAAGTATGAAAGCTACTTAATGAAGGAGAAAATAATATGTGCTGGATCTATGTTTATGTACATCAGTACATGGAGTTTATGTACACATGTGGGCCAATTTATTGCAACATCTTATTGAATCCAAATGCAATTCTTTTTTAACCAAAAAGTTGTTTTTCATTGACATTTTTTTTACTGCAGACAACGGGCTGGAGAAATGGAACTAATCATCGAACCACAGCGATTTGGATCCATGCTTAGTTGAGTTGAAACAAACTCTTAGTTAATTATTTTAGTGAAAAATAAAAATTATTAAGAATTATACAACTTTGGAGTTGGGGGCACAGATGTATACCAACATACCATAGCATGGGCTGTAGGTAAAAGTATAGGAGAAAACAAAGGCGATGGCCGGTATCTCTCATTGAATGGTCGAACCGCAGGGGAATATGTTGCTTTATTATTATCACTTCTGCATTCAGTAATAAAAAAACATTAGGAGAATCTGAATTGTTCTTCGCAGTGTTACTTCAGCAATTTCCATAAACCAATCAGAGAAACTATACTTTAGCCATTCTTTTAAAACATCCTACCACAGTGAGGCAGGGAGATATGATAAAAAAGGAAACATTGAGGCTCTACATTTAATGACATACTTCATTCTCTTATAACTGTCGCTTTAGAGAAAGAAAATGTGTTCTCTAATAATAATTACCTTCATCCATAAATGCATCACAAACATTAATAGAGGTATTCTAGTCATACTCTAATATACTTTTATTTTGGTTCTAGAAAAACTTATTGTTTTCCTAGTACCTGTGCAACCAACTAAAACAACACTTAAAAAAGATGGAGTAATAGAGAATGAGAAAGATGGGGAAAATCAAACTCCACTCCAGAAGGTGTATGACTCCCTTTCCCTTTTTACACATCCCAGCATGCTTGGATGCTTTAGAAATTCAAGCCCAAGATATCACGATTGATCAAAAAGTGTAAATTCTAACTGCTGCTTTAATAGTTTCATATAATACATGAGTTAGCTTTCCCGTAAACTGTGTGATTAACCAAGCAGTATCAGATGACTTGATAATATTTTTCTTCTAATATCTCAATTAAAATTTCCCTTTAACTGTGTGATTTACCAAGCAGTATCAGATAAGTGGAGCAAGAGGATCAGAAAATAAAAAAAAAAGGAAGGAAGCTCAAGATTCTTGTGAAGCACTCAAGCATACGTATTAACTTCAAGAAGGCGAAAGCTGCTATCGGCTCCAGCAATGCACAATATGAGTGGATCATTTTTGTGAGTTCTTAAAGGCAACCAATCAAGTTCTGAGACAAGAGTTCCAGGGAGCTGAGGTTGAAGAAGTGAATTGGCTAATGGATCTGGTGAATCCTGCAAATTGAACATAATGTGTAAGGTTGAAAAAACAATGAGAAAATTGTGAGGCTCGTCAAGGGGGGCAAAAGTGTTTTGGTGCATGTAATAAACCACATTTCCAGTTTTCAACTTCCACTGTCCATACTCTGAACAGATGAGTATGTCAACCATGTAGGTAATATTAGTGTGTTTGGATATGCTTATGAGAAGATCTTATGGCGCTTTGACAAGGACATTTTCATCTTATTTCCTAAGCTATTCCAAGGAGGTAATCAGCTGAAAATGAAAAATGATTGTCAAAGGCAGTTAAAAATGGGAAGCCTCCTTATATCTAACAAACATTTATGCAAAGTTGCTTATCCAAATTCCAAATTGAGCACACAGCCACTCAGGGTTTTATCATCATTTAAAATGGCACTCGAGTAAATTTTAATAACATGATTTCTCAAACATAAATCCTTCCTCTTGACAAACAGAGAAAGAAGCGTTAAAATATCAAAACAAAAACAAAGAGTGCTGTGTTTTATTTTACCAAGTCATATATAGAAAATGTGTTATCATAAAAGAGAACAGCAACACGCCCACGGCTACGATCTCCAGGAACAACTGGTGAGAACTTAATTCTCCTTATTCCTTCCCTGTGTGTGTTAAATGAAGATGACTGCCCGGTGATTACATCCCACCAGCGTATGTTCCCTGACCTGTCCCCCGTAACCTGCATGGTAATTAAATTGCTGTCTCTGATTGGAAAATGTTGCAAGAAGTAGCATCAGCAAGTTCAACAAGTACTGAAGATAAATAGTCTTAATCAGAGATTCAAATGTACCACGTGAGGCTGTCGGTAGGCCATGGCTGTTACCAATCCATCAGATGCAGCAAATGAAGAAGAAGGCCACTTCGGTCTGTCAAGAAGCAGCACGTAAACTATGAGAACAAGAAAAACAGCTCCCTACCAGTGAAACCCACAACTATAGAAAAGGAGTCATATGCGGGAAGCCAGTAAAGCCACAAAACCAGTTAAGATTCATTTCTTTAAACTTAACGCAATTGATGATAAGATTAACGATCCCTGTCTCATAATAACATAACTTCACTTTGTTATGACATCGATTTTGTATATGAAGAAGGAAATACCAAGGCTTTACAAGCTCATCGGGTCCTTTTACATCCAAACACTCGGTCTGTGATTGAAATTACGTATAGGTTCACTGCTTCTATGACTTTCTATTATTGAGGTAACAATTAAATGATATGATAGTATATGAAGTGAAGAATTTGCCCATTCAAAGTTGAGAAGTTAAAACAACTAAAGCACGTTTATGCAAGCTAAAAAGTTCTTTGAATTTCTAATTATGCCTCTTCTTTATGTCAAATCAAGTAAAAGTAAAGGTAATTGTGACATTTGCTATTGAAAATTTTCTTTTTATGGAATGAGAAGTTTACTTTGGGATATCAAACTAAGGAAAATGGGAAGTTCTGTTTGGGGCAGAGGTAGTACTCCGTATTATTTTTCTGGACACACTATAGACTTCTAATCAACTGATCTATACTGTGTAGGAAAACATGCATAAATAAACGATAACTATATAATTGTATTTTAAAAAAATCCCTAGAATGACCATTAAAGCAGTAGAATATTTGACATCAAATGGATTTCAAGTTAATTGTAATACGGTTATTTATTTTTATAAAAAACATGAATCTTTTTTATGTTATACCCAGTTAACCGCAGTAATTTCCATTGCATCCTAGCGATCTGATTTGCATCCAATAATTTTATTTCAGTATATTATTGCTCCGTATTATCTTGATAAGTTTTATGACTTTTATCTGACAGCCTAGTTGAAGTCAGTCACGTTTGGTGATTATTATGTCAGCAAATGTAAATACCTGAAATCTCGGATCCTTCGCCCATGAACCTCAAAGACTCCAAGTGCTCCATTTACCAATGCAAATGAAAAGCATTCAGACAACTCATCTTGTGATCCATCAGGGTCAGATTCTGCAATAAAAATACTCTTTTATTAAGGACTTCCGCACATTGAGAGATAAGAGACATAAAAAAAGTGCCACTGCTGCTGATATATGAAGCAAGATTTAGCTCACTAGAGTCCAATGGAGATGCCTTTGGAGAAGAAGTCTCGACGGACACTGCTGTACGATCTTTAGATGATGGGCGTGGGACTGTTGGGAGACTCCATTCTACTACAGTGAATGGCAGAGCTAATGATCTAAGCTGCATGTTAAAATTCAACATCAAACAATTACTGCATACAAATAGATCAAATGCAACTGGGACAAAACGGTCCATGAAAGTTGTAAGCAAATAGGAAATGTAGAAGCATGAGCTGATGTACCATAATGGGAGTCTTTGTCATTGCCCAAACTTCTACAGGAGCATCACGAAATAAGATTAGAAGGTACCTAAGTAGTTTTTTGGAAACTATGAGTAAACATTTCAACAGTTGCTTGAGAATTATGATTAACAAGAGAAAAAGTTTATGCTACTCATGCAAATACATTAACATGTTAAGTCCTTAAGAATTAAGGTATATCAAGGAAGTAGCTGGTGAAACCTAATTAATCAAGCCCAATGGAAACAGTACAGTTTCCAGTTCACTGAACAAATACAACATTACAAGAAGCTAAATGCAGTCACTATTCCAGATGAGTAATGATTTTATCAAATTCTGTGTTTGATAAGTGAATGCTTTGTTGGAAACTGAAAAGTGCATCTAATGATGGAAACACTTTAATGAACTGATGGTCCAACTTCAATAACTCTATAATCCAAAGATACCTTGTTTATGGGCATAATCAAATGTGGTTATCAAGGAAAATCAGCCTCAGAAGGCCATATACCTCTGAGTTAGAAATCACCGAATGAAGTACAGAAGTTTACATTAAAAATATGTTTAAAGACAAATAGAAACAATGGCAAAATCTCTAGAACTCCACAACTTCAAACAATTCTAAAAGGGTTGAAGGACTAGATAAACGGAACCCTAGTTTTTCAGCATAAAAGCAAGACACAACCAAGAAAATAAGCACATCACAGAGATTTAGGTTGTCTACGAACCTTCCAGAAGATGAGGCCCTTAAAGCTCTTATAGGTGCTCGTTCTGGCTTCTGTAGAACTCGAAATGATCGATTGAGTCCACTTCGAAGACAAGTCACAACAAGCCTATTAACGTAGCCACTAGATTTTTCTGTTCCCTGGGAGCAAAGACAAAGTCATTGTTTCAACGGAGCAACTTGTAAGGAAATGCTCAAAAAACTCTCCATAGGCATCACGAACAATTGTGTAATATGTTTGAAATTTATACTCCCTCTGTCCCCTTAACACTTTGCCAAGTTTGACCGGCACAGGGAATAATAAACTAAAAACTGTGTGTTTGAGGTTTGTGTAGGGGAGAGAAATAACAGAAATCACAAATTAATTGATTAAAAGGGAAAGTGCCAAAGTTTTTGGAACAGCCAAAAAGGGAAAGATGGTAAAGTTTTAAGGGACGGAGGGAGTATGTTCCCAAGGAAATGGTAAAAGCTCAAATAACATGGTTCTCACCTGTGTGTACGAGAATGTCACCACTCTAGAATTCCCAAGCCACCGTAATCCCCTAACAACGCTATTATGGACAGAGAAAGTAGAAGCTACTGCCTTTGCATAGACATCAATGATTTCAACCGAACCATTTTGAGTTCCCAGAGCAACTAGAGGAACTGCCACAGATGGAGAATTCCCCCCACCTTAATGTTTGCACTACCCACTTTTAGTCCAGGGTCCACAAAAGATATAAGACCTCATATTGCATCTTAGTGCATGTCACATTTAAAAGTAAATACTCACGTGCCAAAGTACCAGTCAAAGAAGGAGATGGTACAGCCAGCATACTCACTGGTGAAGATAAAAGATGAAGCTGCCCGACTAGGCTAATCTGCATAAATGGATTAGACCATGAGCTTTATGAAGATGATGAAAAGACCTAGGAAAACAAAAAACTATACATCAAATTTTACAGATCAATTTTTGAGTCTTGAAGCCTTGAAGGCAAAAAAAATTAATGAATCATGATTTACCATGATATTATAGTTATATCTTCCACTGTTACCGATCCACAAATAAGGAAATGAATCTCTATCCCACCTAGAGAGAGTAGTAATATTGAGACACCACAGGCTAACAAACACTACCAGCTTAAGACTTAATATATCTCACAAGAATTTTTTGTTAATGCCTTCATATAAAAAACACCACAGGCTCTTATATTCACCAAGTCAAAAACATGTGTCATAAAAGCATTGACATCTCAAGAGTCATGAGTGCTCCCTAGCAACAAGCATGTCAATAGATACACAATAGACCCAATATGTTACTCTGTATTTATTACTGTCTTCAGCCATGAGTTATGTAAGCTAAAATTTTCCCTATTCCCAGACAAAAAAAGAGGTGCACCCCTCACACTGTATGCGGTCTTCCCCTTGCTTATGCAAAGAGGCTGTTTCCATGTTCAGCTCGTGAGCGACCAGTCACAAAGGAACAACCTTACCATTACTACAAGGCTCAACCTCCGTATTCCTAGACAAACTTGAAGCAAACACAAGAAGTCGCTAGAATGGGAAATAGGAGTACTAGGATTCAAACTAGCCCACAACTTAAAAGGGCTGGAAACCAGCATCACTACTTATAAGGTTGATAAGCTTCTCGATAATAACCATTTCATAGTTAGACCAGCAGCATTAAGAGGAAAGCAGTCCTATCATCCAACTAACAGATAAGGAGAGAAACGGATGTTTTAATATATTTTCAGTGTATGTAAAACTGGTTTACAAGGCTGCAATTTATACACATCCTAATCATGTATATAAGGTAAATAATAATACACATTAAATGACAAGGATTCTAACGGCTAAATACAATATTCTGGAAATCAGCTCTTTCCTTCAATACGCCCCCGCAAGCCAGGTATTCTGTCACTGCCAAGAATCCTGAGCTTGTCTCTAAGAAGGACGAAGCGTTGCCGGGGAAGCGGTTTGGTGAGGGCATCAGCTATCTGATCAGAAGATGGGATATGATGAACCTGTAGAAGTCCTCGTTGAACCCGCTGGCGACCAAAATGAAAGTCAATAGCCACATGTTTCATGCGAGAGTGAAAGATAGGATTTGCTGAAGATGTGGTAGCACCTTTGTTATCACAAAGGAGGAGTGGAGGAGAAAGGAGCGGGTGCCGCAACTCACGCAGAAGAGATTCAATCCAAATAATTTCAGAGGCAGCGGTGGAAAGAGCTCGGTATTCAGCTTCCGTGGAAGACTTAGCAATAGTGCGCTGCTTGACTGACTTCCAAGATATAAGGGACTCCCCAAGAAAAATGGCATATGCGCTGGTGGAGGAACGATCATCAGGATTCCCTGCCCAGTCAGCATCGGCAAAAGCACGGAGAGAGGGGGATGTGCTTCGACAAAGAAGGAGACCATGAGAGGTTGTGCCCTGTAGATAGCGCAAAAGACGTTTGAGAAGCTGCCAATGATTATTCGTAGGTTTATGCAAGAATTGAGCCAGTTTATTAATAGCAAAGGCGACGTCGGGGCGGGTAAGATTCAAATATTGAAGTGACCCGAGGACCTGGCGATAGAGAGTGGTATCACAGGAGCCTGAACTGTCAAACAGAGTTAATGAAGCAGAGGAAGCTAATGGCGTAGCCACAGGATTAGCCTCATCCATTTTCACTATTTTCAACAAGTCCATAATGTATTTATGTTGATCAAGAAAGAGTCCATTCGGTGTAGGAGTAACCTGCATGCCCAAAAAATAGTGTAAGGCCCCTAAATCCTTGATAGAGAACTGGCGGGCCAATGAGTCAATAGTCTGACGTATCAATGCTGGTGTAGAGCCAGTAACAATGATGTCATCCACATAAACCAATACATAGATGTAAGATGGATGGGAGGAAAAGACGAACAGACTGGCATCAGCAACAGATTGATAAAACCCAAGTGATAGAAGAAATCCACTAAGAGATTGATACCACACCCGAGGCGCCTGCTTAAGGCCATAAATAGATTTCCGCAGACGGCAAACAAACCCAGAACCATCATTAAAGCCAGGAGGTTGTTTCATGTAAACTTCCTCCTGAAGATTTCCATGTAGAAATGCGTTATTGACATCTAACTGATGTATCGGCCAACTATGGGAAAGAGCAATAGTCAAGACAATGCGAATAGTGACCGGTTTGATGACCGGGCTAAATGTGTCAGAATAATCAACCTCAGGGCGTTGGTGAAAGCCCTTAGCCACTAACCGAGCCTTATAGCGATCCAAAGAGCCATCTGATTTATACTTCACAGTATAGACCCATTTACAACCCACAACATTCTGACCAGGCTGAGCCGGAACAAGATCCCAAGTGCCTTGTCGAACCAAGGCATCAAATTCTACTGTCATAGCACTCCGCCATTCTGGTACCTGCATAGCTTGAGAAGCACAAGTGGGAATTATATGGTGAGGTAAAGGAGCATTAGTAGCAATATTGGCTTGCTTACGGGGTCGAAGGGTCATCGGATGGGTACGTTTGGGTGGTGGAGTATCAAGGGGTGGGTTTGAGGTAGTGGGATCAGTGGTGGTGGGTAGATGAGGGGTGGGGATAGGAGGATTGGGTTTGGTTCGGCGTTGGTAAGTAATAATTTGTGGTGGTGTGGGTTTAGGAGGGGTGGGTTCAGTTTGGGTGGAGATAGTGGGTGACGTGTCAGGAGCCAATTGTTGAGATGAGGTATGAGTAGGTGGGGACGCCCCCGCAGCCAGAGTATCTGAAATGGGAAGGTAAGACATAGAGGGTTGAAGCCAGTGATCAACTTCAGAAGAAATATTTGAGACGGGTGATGAAGATGTAGAGAAAGGGAAGACTGACTCATCAAACACAACATGCCTGCTGATAAAGATACGATTGGTTGTAAGATCAAGACAACGATAAGCGCTTTGTTGGTCACAATACCCCAGGAAAACACACGGTTTAGATCGTGGTTCTAATTTATGAGTGGTATACGGACGTAACCAAGGAAAACATTGGCACCCAAAAATAGCAAGTTTAGAATAATTAGGGGTTTGTTGAAAGAGTTTTTCGTAAGGAGTGCAAAAGTTAAGAGAGAGAGAGCAGGCTGCCTATTAATGAGATAAACCGCGGTAAGAAAAGCATAGGACCAATATTTAAGAGGCATGGATGCATGGTGAAGAAGAGTGATACCAGTTTCCACAATGTGACGATGCCGACGTTCAGCAAAGCCATTGTGTTCTGGAGTGTAGGGAGGCGTAAATAAATGAGAAATACCACATGTGCTTAGGAATTTCCCTAAGGTGATGTATTCTCCTCCCCCATCTGAATAAACTGTTTTAATGGTGCGTTGAAAAAAGTTTTCAACAATCTTTTTAAATTGTTGAAAGAGTGGCGTCACCTCACTCTTATGAGTTATGGGATAAAACCAAATATATTTGGTATAATGATCAACAAAGATAACATAGTAACGAAAGCCATCAACAGAATTAACACGAGTGGGACCCCAAACATCTGTATATATTAAATCTAGAGGCCCAAAGCTCGAAAGAGATGATTTTGCAAATGGTAGCTTATGGCTTTTATTACTAGCACACGAGACACATAGAGAATTATTTGGAGTAATATCGGCAAAAGAAATACCTAAGGAAGATAAGATTTTTTTAGTGATAGGGAGGGCAGGATGTCCTAAACGACAATGCCATTTATTAAGGGAATATTTTTGTGTGATGTGGGCAGATGGACATGGTGGAAGGGGGGCGTCTGGCAAGCTGTAAACATCTCCTTTATTCATACCCCGTAACAAAATTGCTCCTGTTCGCCGGTCCTTAACAAGACAAAAGGAAGAATGAAATTCAATTAGTACGTCATTATCACGACATAATTTGGCGACAGAAATTAAATTGGTATGAATAGAAGGTACAAAAAGGGTATTAGGTAGAGAAAGAGAGTGAAGGGTCATATGCCCAACTTGTGCTATCGCAAAACCTTTACCGTTCCCAATAACGAGAGAGTCAGTGCCAGTATAATCGGATGCCAAGGTAAGATTATTCAGGTTGTTGGTGACATGATTGGTTGCTCCAGAATCAAGTAGCCAACCATTGTGATTAGTGATAGCCGTGTTGACTTGGGGAGGATACGCCTGTTGTTCAAATCGATGCCAACAATTGAGAGCATAATGATTTGGTTTGCCACAAATTTGACACACAAGATTTGCCCCGAAATTACCATTCCCAGGGGTGTTTCGGGCTGTCGGATTGTTGGTGGGACCCCTAAAAGTATTTTGTCCACGTCGGTTGGAGTTATAAGAAGCAGGAGGTTGCTGATTTCTGGGCTGACTCCCAGTATTATTCCGGGCTGGATAATTCTGGCGACTGGACTGGGGGTAACCTTGAGCAGATAAGCCAGGGCCCAATATTGAAGGGGTGTGAGACGGGCCTGGTCCTCTGCGAGCAGCGAAGGCGACCGACTCCCCACTTAGTACTTGACGAGGCGGATCTTCTGCGACTCTTGCGGTATTAGCGGTAACCACCGCTACAGACGGGTCGAGAGCTTCCTTCCGTTTCAGAGTTGCTTCGAACCCAGTGAGGAGAGTATAGATGTTGCTGAAGCTGTTATCTCCACAGGTTCGAATAGAGTTGGTAAAGGAGTCAAACTCAGGCCGGAGTCCCTCCATGGCTTGAAGGACGAAGTCGTCGTCATCGACGGGGCGGCCAGCCTTAGCTAATTCGTCGGCGAGCGTACGGAGATGATGGAGATACTCGCCTACTGCTTTGGATCCCTGACGAGTGTGGCGGAAGACATCCTTCATATTCCTGATTTGAGCTGCTGAACGGGTCCCGTAAAGTTGCTCCAGAGTTTTCCACACCGCAGCAGAGGTACGTGCGGATCCGACCAAGGGTTTGCACGCCGAGCTCAGGGAGGAGACAAGAGCATGTCGGAGGAGACGGTCTTGCCGATTCCACCGGAGATGCTCTGCGGCGTTACTGGGAGGTGGCGGAACAGCACCATCACTGATGTACTGGTCGAGATGCGAGCCAACCAAGAGGTCAAGCACTTGGTCACGCCATATGAGGTAATTGGTCCCTTCAAGTTTTTCTGGGAAGTGGCTGGGGTTGAGGATGATTAAACCGTCTGGAGTGAGGGGGTTGACTGTGGTAGAGGGAGTTGTAGAAGAAATGGCAGGCTGCCCATCTAGGGGGTCGTCTGCCGCCATAGGAGAAGGAAGAGGGCTGGTTAGAGCTCGTGTGGCTCTGATACCATAACAGATAAGGAGAGAAACGGATGTTTTAATATATTTTCAGTGTATGTAAAACTGGTTTACAAGGCTGCAATTTATACACATCCTAATCATGTATATAAGGTAAATAATAATACACATTAAATGACAAGGATTCTAACGGCTAAATACAATATTCTGGAAATCAGCTCTTTCCTTCAATGCCAACTACTTATAAGGTTGATATTTCCCATAAATAGACTAAATGGCAGTTCTGGGAGTTGCATATATTCTAAAAAAAGACTATTTACACCAAGTTTTTCCTCATAGGTACATAAATTATTTAAATGCTGTCATCCACGGAAGTTCCAGCAGATCAAATATGAAAAACTTAATAAAAAAGTACAATGCTGAAGTGTACATTTCTTGCTCTTCAGTCTTCCCTCGTTTTTCTTTTGATTTTTCTTTTTCTTAGTAAGGTGGTCAAAACTGGAAAAAGAATATCAGGCAAATGACTGGCCAATAATCATGGGTTGACCAATATACGGTCTATCAGCCAGAATAGCAAGGGTAAATTAAAAAAAACTACTCTCCGACGAATATGTCAGTATACATACCAACCTTGAATGTCTCCTCTTTGTCATGTTTAGAAGCATTTGACAAACAGCTACTATTGCTAATCCCGCCATTCAATTTCTTTGACGTGTCACTATCTGACGGTAAAACACATGTCTGAGGATTTCCTTCCAGAACTATAGAATTACTAACCTCCACTGCAACACTGGGTTTTGATGTACCCTTTTGAGTATCTCCAGATCCTTCAGCAGCAAGAAGCCATTTCCATACTTTTCCATCATCAGAAATACAAATTAATGGTGTTCTAGAAATTACGAGTGATTCATCACAAAAATCAAATGGATTGTCAAAGTCCAATTCTTCGGATGGATATCCATCTGAATAAAGCTTGCTGATATTCAGAAGTGTAGCATCTGATTGGCAGATAACAACTCCAAGAACTGAAGGAGGAGGTACATATGAGCCAAGTGAAGGCATCAACTCTTCCATAGCACAGATCGTGTATACCTGCTCTCCTCTGTTAAGTTATCCGAATATATATGTGTTATCTTATATGTTATATCCCAATAAATAGAGCGAGAACTTTGCAAAATTTGTGGAGATTGAATAAAATTGTCAAATCATTAAGACAGTGAATGGGTTATAGGGTCTGAATTCTGAATGAGCATATTTTTCAATAAAATGCATTATCTTATGGATCCAACAAGCAAAACAGTCTCTGTGGATTGCCACATCCAAAATTGCTGAGTCCGCATATTGTCTGTGGATAGTTAGATCTCAATCTAGTCTAGTATGGGACATTAAATCCTACAACCCAATTTCATATAATTAACATCAATTGTTTAGCACAAAAGACTCATCAAAAGATAAAAACAGGATGTCTGAATCATATTGTGATCTAGCTTCTCTGCACTCTATTAGTCATTGTTGGGACTTCCAGGATACAGTTGACCAGAACCGCATATTAGTTACAAATCATTTCTTATAAAATTGATTTTTTTTAAACCACTCAACTTGATGGATGGGAATACTTTAGACAACTAAAAGGCTTATTGGCTGTTTAAAATCAAGGTATTGCGTGTAGATACCTCAAGTGTTTGCAGTGTGATTCTCTGATCTTCAAAGCATTGAGATGTAGATAGCACTATAAAATGCTCTTTGTAGCATATTTGTTCCTTAATAACACAATTTGACTTTTCATATGACTTAAACCAAAAATAACAATATCAAAACTAATTCTCACAAAATGTGCCACGGAGCATTTTTATTTCACCTTATGACATGCTATACCAAAACAATCTGTTGTCACTAACATTGGCATAGTTCATCTAAAATCAGCTCCTAATTTGAAATTTGAGGAGTAAACAGCTCATATTTGGACACTGACAACTCTATTTTCCAGGTACTGCATACTAACAGCTGAACTAACAGCTGAGAGTTACAGGAAGATTCAATTTAAATCAATACAAAAGTTCTGTTAAAAACCACTTACTTTTTCCTTCGCCAAATGCTGAGCATCCCGTCAAGATGAACACAATACAAAACCTCCAGATTTGTATCTGGCAATACTTGTAGGAACTTCCCACAACCTCTGGGCAACCCTGCAGAGTATAATGACGTCTCATACTGCAAATCAAACACCACCAGCTCTCTGGGAAAAGCAACAAAGAGTATGTGCTTCCAGTGAGGCGAAAAGGCAGCACTCACTATGTAATTAGGAAATGTAGCCAATGCGGGTGACCCATTAACAGCTGCAGTTGAATCCCTCTCTAACTTCTGCAATTCCGTGGTATCTGTGCAGATTCGCAGTTCTTTGGTAGCAATATCATTTTCAGAATCTCCTAGGGTTTTGATCGAGAGCAAGAAGCCTTTGAGACCTACAGCACAAAGACGCCTAGAGTCGAAGGGATCGCGACAGAGACAGGAAAAGTACTCAGGGGAAGCGTCGTATTTGAAGAAGCAACGTCCAGTTGAAGTGTTGAAGATGCTCAGAAACGAAGCGCCGGACAGAGCAGCGACGGCCCAAGAATCAGGACCGGTTTGGATCCAGCAGAGATCCTGGATTCCCTGCTTTGGACTAGAGCTACTAGAACTAGTGTCAAAAAACATAAGTGGAGCTCTCGACCTCAGATCAAGGAGGCTAATACGGCCTTGGCGATCACCGACGGCGAGAATCAGATGCTGATTGGGCGCGTCGGGGGATAGGAGAATGTGAGGAAGCGGGTGCGGGGACCACCGGACGGAAGTGATGAAGGGGGAGAGAGCGGAGGAGGAGGAGGAGGAGGAGGAGGAGGAGGAGGAAGGCGGGGGGAGAGGGATAGCAGTGATGAGCTGCATGGAGTGAGTTTCAACAACTGCGACAGAGCTTCCCGAGGCGTAAGCAAAGAGGCCGGTAGTGGAGAGGTCGGCGGATCCGCCATTGCTGCGTGAAGGTGGGCCCGGGAGCATACAGTCCCATGACTCGCTAGGTGGGCGTTGTGGGATCGACATTGCAGTTGAAATGCAAGGTACTCCACTGTCAGCAACAGAGGAATGGAGAAATGGCGGCTGTATCAGTTCAGTTGAGCGTTGACGTATCAATCCGAGACATGTGCTCCGGTTGAACCGGAGAAGACGGGTACATGCTGCAGTGCTGCACACTAGCAGGAAAAGACGGGTACATCCTCAAATTATCCTCATTTTCTTTGTTTTTCCATTGTTGATATAGAATTTGGTGGTTCACAACTATTTTTATATATTTCTCTTTTCTCTACACAACTCTATACCGCACATTTCACACTTCGTTAGTCCGGAAATAATGAAAAAAATAGAATGTGAAATCAAATTAAATGATTTATACTGACACGAGTGCATATATTAATGATTTTGAATCAAATGCAAAGACAAATATCACTCAAAATTAAGGTGCATTTAGAACGCGGCAAATGTTAAGAAAACAAAATTTGGAGGAAATTATAAATTAAAGCAATAACAATGTAGATGAAAAAGCTCAAATCATCCGGTGTGATAGAGTAATAGAGTAGTGAGTACTAACTATGTGATTGTCTTACCGACTATGGGTAGTAAAATCGAGGGAGAGCCGGAAAATATGCTAAGTATGAACTAAGTAACAAATTCGGCAGAGTAAAGCATGCTTGAAAATAAGAATTGCAGTCCATGTCCACAAGCTGGAAGGTGATATTTATAGTGTACAAGAAAATACTTGGTGAACAAGAAAAATAATGGATCAACTAATAGAGCGTCACGTGTAAGGCTAATTGGTGAGAGAATATCTCGATTGATTGGTTGATCAGTACTGTTTGTCACAGCCTTTGTCCTTTATATATCAAAATGGCCGAATAAGCCATGTGTGTAAACCTGATAGTTGACTGCTTTAACTGAGTTGGGTGATGTCAGCCCTGTGAAAATTGTCATTATTAAGGTGATGTAATCTTAAATGCTGTGTGATCTCAGTGTTGAAATGTCTAAGGACATGTTTACTTCACCAGTTATTAAACGGTGCTTATTAAGACCCGTGTTAATAAGCGGCGCATAAATTAAACAATGTTGTAAGACCGTGTTTACTTCAAACGGTTTAAAACACCGCTTAACATTAAAATGTCCAAAATAACCCTATACATATATATACACACACAAACATTCATGAACAAGTATATAATATAATATGTGTACTCATACCCCTAACCCTTTACCCACCCTACCTTACCCCGACCCCACCACCGCCTACCCCTACCCCTACCCCTACCCTACCTACCTGACCCCACCCTACCTACCCGACCCTACCCCTACCCGACCCCACCCTAACCTGTCCCCACCCTACCACAACCCTACCCCCGACCCCATAGGCCCCTACCCCCATAGGCCCTTACCACATCGACCCCACCCCGACCCCACCTTACCCCAACCCCGCCCCTAACCCTACCCTACCCTACCCGGGTAGTGGTAGGGTGGGTTCGGGTAGGTAGGGTGGGGGTTGAGGCGGGGTAGGGTAGGGGTGGGGTCGGATAGGGTAGGGTGGGGTCCGGTATGTGGGTAAGGGGTGGGTAGGTAGGGTAAGGGTAGGTGTGTGGTCGGGTAAGTAGGGTAGGGGTGGGATTGGGTAGGTAGGGTAGTGGTAGGGTGGAGTCGGGTAGGGGTAGGACGGGGTAGGGTTGGGTTGGGTCAGGGTAGGGGTAGGGGTAAGGTGGGTCGGGTAGGGGTAGGGTAGGTAAGGGTATGGGTGGGGTCGGGGTAAGGGTAGTGTAGGTGGGGTAAGGGTAGGGGGTGTCTGGTAATGGGGTAGGGTAGGGGTAAGGTGAGGTCGGGGTGGGGTCGGGGTGGGGTGGGGTCGGGGTAGGGTCAGGGTGGGTAGGGTAAGGGTAGGGTGGGGTTGGGGTCGAGGTGGGGCATGGATAACAATAGGTTAAGGGCAAGGGGTAAATTCGGAAACTGAAAAAGCTTAAAGTGCCGCTTAATTAATACATGGGGGTGGTATGCTTAATAAGCGGCACTTTAAGCACCTCTTTCGGTTAGTAAGCGGCTTTTTAAGCAGTGTGCGTGTTTACTTCACCTGTCTTACTAACCTAACTGTGACTTTAGCAGTGAAGTAAACACGTCCTAAGTCTACGATCTCTACGAGTTCCTGAGCTCAGTTCGGCCTAAGTGTAGAAAATTCATAGCTTGGGTATCATTGCTTGGCTCAAAGATGAGAAATCTCAGCTTAAAGTAATAAGTGGATTGTCTTTATTCATATCGAGTTCATAACGTCGAATTTGACCTATGGCTATATACTCGATCACTGTGATTTTTTGGCTGAGTATTTATAATGACTACTTTTTTCTGTGTTAAAGGTTGTTGCATATGTGAATAGTGGACTATTCATGTTGGGTTTCATAATAAGGGCATACTTCGAACCCTTAGAATTCAATCACCCCGTTGTTATGCCGGCTCTTGCAAAGCTTATGTAATGAGGGACAAGAATCCTCATCCTATTCCTATTGTGAAGTCAAAACGACACATGCAAAACATTTTCATAGTTTTTTAATACTACACAAAAGCACCAAGTACAAGTGAATGTGGATCATCACCAGATCACCAAGAGTTCTCCAATTCCCTATAGTCTTGAGAGAAAGAAAGACTTTCTAACCGAGGAAAACACCTCTCGGAGATTTTTTTTGTTCTCAACTCATCAAATTCTTTTTCGATTTATCATCAATTCTGAGGTGGATACGCAGAATCAGCAACAAATGAGTTCTATAATTTTGTTGGTGAGTTTTGAATTTGTAGTGACTAATAAATAAATATAGCTATTGAATTTAAAATGAGACACGCAAAGTTACCGAATAGAAAAGCGCTTTAGTAAAACTGTAAAAAATGTGCATCACTGCATCCTTCCATTGATTGAGTCACAATTACGAGCGGAAATGGAAGAGTCGTATTTTTGAAATCCATACACTTGTAGTAACATTGAGGCTATTTTTTGGAATATAAATTTGGTATAATAACACTCCATTTTTACGTGGAAACTCGGAAAGGGAGAAAACAACGGAACTTTTTATGCTAACGTCCAAGCCCGCTCTTTCTCATTAATATGCTCTCCTCATCATTTACATCACCCAAATATCATCCTCCATTAATGGAGTTTGCTTGAGCTAATCTAAAATCATATAAAGAAGTTGGGAGAGAAGAAGAAATCCTCCAAGAGAGGAGAGCCAAACGACCCCCCAATATGGAAGGAAGGCTTCCTATTTATAGGGAAAGCCTCCTATCCTAATGGGCCTTACGGGCCAGCTAGGTCGAAATAGGCCGGGTAAGCCTAAATGGGCCATGTCGACTGGGCCCCGTACCGGAGTGACGCCTTGGGCCTCTGAATATTAATATGCCGGAGTAATATACCCTACGTAGCACCGATACGGGTACGTGGAAATGCGGAAACGAGTACGAGGATACGACAAAACCCAAAAAAGTAGGATACGGATACGGGGCCATATTTATAAATATTAAAAGTTATGGGGGTGTATTTATAAATATTAAAAGTTATAGGGGTGTATTTATAAAATATTAAAAAATTATTTTTTGTTTTGAAAAAAATACACATATATTATCCTCCGACGTCTACCCATTTATGACATTGACGCATTTTACATTTTCAAGATACTTCGAAATATAAATAGTCAATAAGTCATCAATTTAAAATGAGAAATAAGTTAAACAACTACAATTTTGAAATTAAAAGTGCAAGTACTCAAAGTTCTAGAAAAATGAAGATAGAAAACAATATTTTAAAAGTTCTAATACATATTTCCGTTGGAGCTGTTAATTTTCAAGAATAATTAGAATTAGGGATAGGAGCTTGGATGGGCGGATTAGCAATAGGTCAATTAGTTGTGTACCACATAAAAGCAACGTAATAATTATTTTTAGGAGAAATTTGTTGATTTAGTCTCATAACTTATAGCTATACCCGATATTGGTCCGGTAACTTTACTAACTTGCAGATTACATCCCGTAACTAATAAGTTGGTGCAATTTTGGTCTTTCTCTGCCGGAACTTACCAATTTCGCCGGAAAAGACACATCACCTGCCACATGGTATATTATTTGGAACTCATTTGCTGACTCAATGTTGGCCCTCAGCTAGAGTTACAAAAATTATTTCTTCTTGGTTGCAGCAAGAGCATTTTGAATGAGGTTTAAAGTTTTTTGGATTCATGTTTTAAGAATAAAGCATTTGAAATGTTACATCATCTTCATTTCTCACATCTTTAACATGAGAAAGACCATGAGCAAAAACACTAGCCCCACAACAACTATGAGGAGCCTTTTATTTTTAGCCTTCAACTTTACAACCTCTTCCTCTTTTGAATTGAGTCTTCTGACCAATCCCGGAATTATCATCGTTCAACGATGGCACATAGGTGGGTCCGCCCATTCAAAAAATCTGCAACCTTCTGTCTGTATCAAAACAAGATGAAGCTTAACTTACTTTTTAGTGCTTTGAACACAAAAATACATTATCAAATGCCCCCAACAAATAGAAGATGGTAATTTTATTAGCAGAACCTAACTTAAAATATAGAATACATTTTAATTTTCAAACAAATTTATTATTCAAATGCTATTCTTAAATTTGTAGTTCATTTAGTAAAAAAAGAAGCAAACAATGTAAATTAAAAAGCTGAACTTCTTACTCTGCTTCAAGCGCACACACGGAACCTCCTTCCAGGACCGTTATCAGTACAAGAAGTTAGAAGAGACACATTTTTACCACAATCACACTCCATAAACTTTTGTCTGATCGAGAGGCGTTACTAGCAGATTTGAAGAATAACTCACTCTCTCGACTTAGTTCAGGAGAAATCTTCAGGTAGAGTTATATGTTCTTCCCCCCTTTTGCAGATCCGATAATAGGCTTGGTATGGTTGTGCACGCACTTAGCGAAGAGCTTTCGTACTCTGGTTTTTTAACTCCAACTAAGAGCCAAATATCATTTTTTTAAGAATTTTATTATGTAAATTTTGAGTGTTTTTTTAAAAAGTTTTTTTTGGAAGAACTTTTTTAAAAAAGTTGAAAAGTGTATCCGTCAGGATACGGGTGTCCAAAATTTTAAAATAATTACCAAAAAATGGAAACTTTTAAAAATTGCAGATACGGCCCGGAAACGTACAGTACGGGTATCCTAGAGCATCGGATAC